GGATGTGAATCATACGCATCCAGGCATTCAAGGCTTCTGACTTGTACAACATTCCTGAAGTCCAACACTTACCCAAAGGTCCCGGCGTGCTCTGAAGGTGCCCAAGGGTTTGGGAGGCTCGGGCAGGGTGCCCGAGCCCTTGGGCAGGGTGCCCAAGGGACTTGGGCAGGGTGCCCGAAGCCCTTGGGCAGGGTGCCCGAGGCCTTGGGCAGGGTGGCTGAGGGCCGTGGGCAGAATGCCCAAGGCCTTGGGCAGGGTGTCCAAGGGGCTTGGGCAGGGTGCCCAAGACTCTTGGGCAGGGCGTTCGAGGCCTTGGGCAGGGTGCCCGAGGCCTTGGGCAGGGTGCCCGAGGCCTTGGGCAGGGTGCCCAAGACCCTTGGGCAGGGCGCCCGAGGCCTTAGGGATCTCCACTAGCTTAGCTACATCACGACCTCCAGAGTCGGGGCAGAGTTTGGGGTTTAGAGCTTCGAGTTGTGTGAAGGACGGGATCATGGATTTCAGGGGTTTGGGCCAGACTTATCCGAAAGACAGTGCAACACCACCACTTCGAGATCCAATGTGCCTCGCACTCGATGTGTCCCCAACCTTGGTGAGCATGGCTACTGCTCTGAGCAAACGGACACCACCCTTGTGAATAGACTTTCTGGTGGTTTCAAGATTTAGGTCACCCATAGGCCCCTAAGTAGTTCCTTTTTGGGATTACCTTATAGGATTCTAAGTATAAACCACAAAAAGGAACTACTTAGGGGCCTATGGGTAGACTGGTAGGGTCGGAATGCTGAATCGTAACCCCCTCATAGCTCAAAGATGCTACAAAGAGTCTACGTTGGGCTTTTGCACCTTTTCGGATCTCTAGATCCTATCTTAACCCACCAAAAATTTCTGTAGGTTCTTATCATAGACCCTCATATGGGATTTATAGGGGCCCTACCAAAAAAGTAGGCTCTGGTAGGCTAAGGTCAAAATCCTAAACCCTAATATACTTACTCCCCCAATAAGCCAGGGAAATTAAAGGTTAAACTTTCAAATTACTACTAAACTATAAGCACCCAAAAGTTTAAAGGTTGGGTATGGGGGAACTAAGTATAAGCCTATGAACCCTAAACCCTATAACCCTAACATCACCGAGTTGAGGAGGTTGCAGTGTCGAGTGCTGTGCGGTTCAGGGATTTTTTTGGGGCCTACAGTTCGAATTTAAGTTGAGGGTTTAGGGTTTAAGGTT